TGTAGAACCACTATAACTATCATTAGGTAACCTACTAATACTATATACTACCTATTACTCCCAAAATCATTATATATATCATATTATATACACTTTACTATTTCTTTTCTTTAGAAATCAGTCGCCCATGCGCGTGCCCGAGTACGCTGGCAAAATGTCGCCGATCCCACTCACGCACCGCTGCGCTTCCTGACCATGTTTTGGAAGTGTCTGATACTTAATGAACAGTTTATGACAGTGAGCGTACGGAGAGTGCCTGAAAGCGACCAGTCCCGTATCGGTGTACGCGGATATATAGCCTTGATCTTTGGACTAGCCCTCTGTCTGTATAAAATGACTCTTCAGCCGGTGATGACCCTAGGATGAACACCGGGACCCATAATACTTTATAAATAAAATACTATAATCTTATTACTATGTTTACATTCTCATATTATGTGACCACATAAATTAGCTGACCCGACGCGAGGTCGGAGAGAGACGAGGACGAGCGGAGAGACCAGACAGACAGACAGACCGAGAGACAGGACGAGAGAGATGAGAGCGATGTGCCGTGGATGAGAAGGGAGAAGAGGGAGAGACGAGAGAAAGGGAGAAGGAAAGAGAGGAGAGAGAAATGAGAGAGAGACAGAGAGACGAGAAGAGAGAGACCCCCCGATGGAGGCCAGAGAGCGTGATTGAGAGAGGACAGAGGCAGGAGAAGGAGAGGAAAGAGAAGAGCAGAAGACGAGAGGAAATGATGTGAGAGACGAGAGACGGCCAGAGAGAGAGAGAGAGAGAGAGGGTTGGAGAGAGAGAGAGGACGGAGGGGAAAGACGAGAACAGACTGAGAGCGAAGAGAAAAGGAGACGAGCAGAGAGAGAGAGACAGACAGACAGAGGACAGAGAGAGAGAGAGAGACGACAGAGAGAGAGAGAGATGAGAAGAGAAAGAGAGAGAGAGAGAGAGAGAGAGAGAGAGAGAGAATGAGATGGTCGCAACCGCTGAGGAGGACGAGAGAGAGAAAGCAGAGAGAGAGAGGAAGAGAGAGACGAGGCAGAGAAGAGAGAGATTGAGAGAGAGAGAGGATGAGAGAGAGAGAGACGGCAGAGGCCAGAGAGAGAGAGAGGAGAGAGAGAGAGAGAGAGAGATGCGATGCGATGAGAGAGACGAGAAGAGAGAGAGATCGAGAGAGACACAGAGGAGAGAGAGAGGAGAGACGAGAGAGAGCTAGAAAAGATGAGAGAGGAGAGAATGATGAGAACGGCAGAGCGCTGATTCATTGGTCGTATAATACACCTGCATGTCTCCAACCTCATCACATTCTCCTTCATAGATCTGTTGAGAGGTCCGTCTTGGACCCCGGCGGCGTGACCGGCAAGATAGTAGCGTGACGGGGCAGCGGGGATAGATGGCCGTGACGGGGCAGCGGGGAGACATGGCAATGACGGGGCAGCGGGGATAGATGGCCGTGACGGGGAAGCGGGGAGAGATGGCCGTGACGGGGAAGCTGGACCACAAGGCTCGATAGTAAATATACCGCTCCTGCTGGCAGTTATATCCATCTATTGTCGCGCCTATAGTTGCTGTCCGTTGCTACGCGTGTATTTTATTGCCTGACTGTATTCCTGCCAAGCAAAATATCCTGCATATATGTACATCTAGGGTCCAGTTGGACCGCGGGGTCCTCAGGGAGAGCGAGGAAGTCCGGGAGTGACGACAGAAGTGTCTTCTGGTGGTCTGACTAATGAGGAGGAAATCGACATGATACGTCAGCGAGTAGAGGCGCAAATATTCTCTAACTGTAAGTAGGAGTTGTATCGCTTTCATGTGACACTGGAGTGCCTGCGAGTTTAAAACTTTATATTACAACGAATATTTAACATAACAGCGCTTGGTTAATAATTAAATGTATTTTCCCCTTTTCCTTTCAATTTGGGATAATATATAATATACAAGTGTAAATAATATAGTAGTTAAACTGTCTAATATCCTAATCCAAATACGCAACACCATTTTTTAAATAGTAGCAATTGTTTTTGACTGGATTCTATATGGTTTAATATATTACAATTGTCAATACCGATGTGCATACTAATATGTTCTACTATATAAACGATTACTATTATATCTGAATCATGTCGTAAAATGAATAACAACGAATAACTCACATGAAACAATGAATACGAATTAGAGATAAAGAAATTGCAAAAGCATAATTTGCGCCTCTTATAATAGTTTAATTTAACATGTAATTCTACCCAATAGATCGCGCCAACGTAACCCATGGTGGAGCCATGTATGTGAGATGGGGAAGAACGACTTGTCCAGAAACTGGTGCAGAACTCGTCTATAACGGTACCATATATATTACAAATTATTGCAGGGCCTTATCCTCAGTGAGGATGAAGCGGCCAATCCTTAGATTTCTAGGAAACGAAAATATACGCCGAATAAATGTAAATTATTATAAACTAGTGCAAGTGATCATGTCGCGATTGTTAAACCCCTCATTCCAGACCCTCTCGCCACAACATGCAGTTTAACTGGAAACCGCGCCCCTCCATTGTTATTACCGAGCCGAAGCACTAAAATGCATTCTTTCCCCAGGAACTAGTTCAAACAACGGTTCTTTATTGACACGCGTTCCGTAAAAACTGCTGTTCCTTCCAATCAGCGTACAATGTATAAAAATTGATTGAGGGAATGACATGCCGACACTTTTACATGCATCGATTAGGCGTGGTAGGCAGTGCTCACTACACTCACCACGGGGGAGGTGGGAACTACCAATGTCTTCCCTCAGTCCCGCAGTGGGGCAGGTTCCAAGATGGATTCCAAGCAAAAAATTACATGTAAGTCCTAGACTTTTGATTTATTTCTGAGACGAATGAATGAGTGAATGAATTAATGAGTTAATGAGTGATTACCTCACGGAATTAGGGCATAAATGAGCAAGCGAGCGAGCGAGCGCACGAGCATAAAAGTGTGAAACTTTTAAACGCCATTTATTCGTGTCAGAAAAAGTAGGCCGACGCTACGGCTTTAAATGTATTATGGATTATGATCGCGTCAAATCTTCAATCGCGGTAGGTATGGAGTGGAATACGAAATCAATGGATTCAACCCGTTCCTGTCGAGTCATCTATCAGGCAAGAAGTTACAGAATCATAACGCTGTGTGCGCAGTGTGCCGTGTACCCGATCGTGCCAGCGAACAAATGATCCCTGGCTGGAACACATGCCCTCCGAGTTGGTCACTAGAATACCACGGGTAAGGAAGATCGAGTATACTTACTTAATAAGTAATATTATCAACGAGCCCAGAAACGTAGTTTAGCAGCATGGGGCTCGGTCTGTCGATATCAACGGGTACTACAGATATGTAACCGAGGTAGTTTCAGGTTAGTTTAGTATTATTGTTTATGATCTGAAGTATGTTTAGGGTGTCTAGGGTTATGGGTCGGGTTACGGTTGCTTAGGTTGGTTAGGGGGTTAGTGTGTCGGTTTAGGGTTAACACCTTCTGTAGTCGACAAGTCTAGTACACTTTGTGTATACATATATGTTCCTCGGGTACATATCTGTAGTACCTGATACGACAACGACCCCTTGAGCGATAGTTTATGGCTTGTTAATACGTATAATACTGGGCTAATGGGTGAGGAACACTAAAATAAACAACCACTATTAAAAATATATGACAATAGACTGATCGGTATGGATAGACTAGAAGAGTAATCAATAAATTAACATCCTGCTATACATGAATACACGTTTTATGTCTCTCTGGTGACAAATTGCAAGTTCGTACCTAGTAGCGATAAAGGTGACGGCAGCGTGAATGTTGCTGCTAGTGTTGTTTACTATACCGCGTCGAAATAGCAGATGTTCACATTTACTTGCTTATAGCAACTGCATAAAATATTGCGATATTCACTGCAATGGATAATCCTAATATTCGCCCTTGTATTCTCCAGCTACCTCACGTCGTCGCACCACAGCCACCAGGGTCGGTCAAACTTCGTGTGCGTGGATGAAGATCCAGAGGCGAATTCCTCGGGAGTAGCAGACGAGAACGGAGGTCTGTGGTACGTCGTGGAGGCTAACTGCGGGTCACTGCCATGTCCAAACTACGTGAGTGGACGGGAGATCACCTGTGCTGTCTGCACTAAGTAGTGCACATATTTCACTTACTGTATCATTCGTAACTCGGCTTGACGATCTGGATTAATACGTACCGATTAAGATAATCGACTCAGTAGATTGGAAAATAGGATGCAAATAGGGACTACCTTCCAAATACATAATATTATCGAAATTATCAAGAGCGTATTAAGTTAGGTTATTATACTTAATATGCTATTGAAATTATCTATTGCAGAAAATCATGTAATTCCTTATGGGATTAGTTATTTTGGTTATGGGCATCCCGATAAATTTTCCGTATGCAATTCTTATTGGCAATTCAACATTCACTATTCACATTATTCTCAGACAATATTCATTATGCGTGCATGGGTATCGGCTGAATAAATCAAGTAAGTGGTTTGCCCGATGTGTGTGTTACAAGTTCGCGGCTTCCACACGTATTGATGCATGAGCATTACTTAGTAGTTAGCACTTAGCAGCACAGAGTTCTTAGCTGACACCTGCTAGTTTAGGCAATACTAACTAATTTGGCGTGTGCGTATGCCTGTGTGATGCGTACACGAGTGAGAAACACGGATAAACTGGTCTGGCTTGACCGAACAAGCAACAATATTTGAGCAGGACGTGATATTGACTTTAACTGATAGGTCAATGATTGATAACATAAGACTATGTCATTGCGTGCACTCAGTATCAATTCATTTCATTAAACATTTAGTGCAAGGAATAAAGGAAAACGATAACAACCGGCATGTTACTTAATTACCACGATAATATTAAATAACCAATGATATGCATGTTACCACGATAATATTAAAACAACTACAAAACGCAACTGCCAAGTGTCGACAGCTGATTAGATATTTAACAATTCATTCTTCTATAGTGTCTTGTTTTACATGCTAGCACTACTATTAAACGCAGCTTAATAGTAATTAAGTCAAACATATATGTCCCTACATGGGAGTCAGTAAGTTACTAAAAAGCAACTTATTTATCCAAGAAAATCATCAACTACTTAAATTTCAGTGTACATAAGATAGCTACGATTTTTCTGCTATTTAACTTAAATTGTGACTGGAAATAATTGTGACTGGTGTGAAATAAATGGGATTCTTTAATTGAAAGAACTACTTCGTTGATAACGTTATCATTGTTAGCAATCGATCAATCATGAGCTTTCTAGCATTTGACCAATCGTGGGCCTCTTAAGAAGCGACCAATCGTGAGCCTTCTAACAATTGACCAATATCGACCAATAGTGGGCCTTCTAGCAATCGACGAATTGTGGGACTTCTAGCAATCGACCAATCGTGGGCCTTCTAGCAATTGTCCAATCGTGGGCTTTCTAGCAAATCGACCAATCTTGGGCCTTCTAACAATTGACCAATCGTGGGCCTTCTATCAATCGACCAATCGTGGGTCTTCTGACAATCGACCAATCATGAGCCTTCTAGCAGTCGACCAATTGTGAGCCTTTTAACAATCAACCAATCATGGGCCTTCTAACAACCGACCAATCGTGAGCCTACTAACAATCACCCAACCGTGAGCCTACTAACAATCACCCAACCGTGAGCTTTTTCACCGTCGACCAATCGTGAACCATTTAAACATCGACCAATCATGAATCTTTTAGCAATCATCGGTTATGAATTAACCATCATCCATCATCCACCAATCATTAATTATTAATCTCACACTTACCTTACCTACGTTACTTTTCTTCACATGCTTAACCTAACCTCTTAATTGTACTTAATAGTTTAAGTAGGGGTCAACAGTTCATTTGTGATGGTGGCTTAATATCTCTATGCGGAATCGCCTAATGCTCACACTAGACCTATGTAAAATTCCTCAAAATCATAATAATCGCTAATGCACTATTTTTCGCTGTCATTATTTTGTTGTTATTTTTATAGCATTGTGTCTAATCACTAAAAAAATTAAAAAATTCGGACACCACTGCGATCACAGCGCCCTGCCTTTTCTACTGAGCATAGAGGCCCCATTTTAAAACAAAAGATTTTTGCTTGACTCTAATGCATCTGTGTTCATTATTACCTTAGCATCACACACGAGATTTCAACATGACGGTCAAGATTACTTTTCCACGTGTGATTACGCATTTGATAGCGATACACGGGAGTAGAATTGTTAGAGCGGCCAATTATTCTCACCGTGGAGGAGTACACTGCGTTCGGGTTGGCTGCAGTCCTCAATAGAGAGATATTGAACTCCGCTGGAATGTCGGTAAAATCGAGAATCTTGGACATACCGGGACCACGAGTATACATCGCACATGTGAAATAAGCACGAGGGTATCTAGGTTAATAGATTTCGTGCGAATTACTGAACGCTATTATAGGACGTCGCGTGTACGTATGTGTATGGTTAGGACGATTTACACTTGCCGCATCAGATTACGATAATACGTTTATATAATGTAATGTAATGTGATGTAATGTAATGTAATGTAATGTAATGTAATGTAATGTAATGTAATGTAATGTAATGTAATGTATTGTAATGTAATATGATAGTAGCTTAGGCTGTTCACGACGCTGACGTTTGGGTGAGTATCGCAGCTCTTCCAATGTAACAAGACTCTCCTACGATTTGTCCAATGTCTAATGCAGGGTTCAAGCTATCGCCGGCATCCATCACAATGTCCGGTCGCAAAACTTATAGTATGTGAATCGGTACTGACTGGTATATGCAGCGGGGACCTTACGTGCAAGGGGTCTTCTTCCTATTTTTTAATGAGTTCTACTGATAGAATGTTGTCATAGAAAATCTATGCTAGGATAACTCCTCTTACACGAGCACCGTTTCAGGCGAGCAGTGCGGACTGAAGAAAACTGCATAACATAGCGTGCTGAGAGAGAGCGAGAGATAGAGAAAAAAACAGAGAGCCAGAGATGAGTGGCTGACTGAGGAAAGGCGGCAAGGAAGATAGCTGGGGGCGGCAGAAGAAGAGGGAGGCTGAGCGAGGGACAGGGGAGGCAAGGGGAAGGACGCGAGGGCATAAAGTAGGTGTTTTGTACCCTACAGACTAGGACGCTTTCCTAATTATAAAGAAAGGGCTACTGATAACAATTTATTAGAGAAATCTATGATGAGACACCTCTTAACCATATTAAATGCATATTCATCCAAAATATAACTCCTCTGGTGAGATATTGCGCATGCGCTAACACACTAACGTAGCCAGATTGTGTACTGACTGGTATGCGCATTGGGGACCTTACATGCAAGGTCTTCCTCCTATTTCTTAAGTGATGTCTACTGATGGAATGCTATCATATAAATCTATGCTAGGATAACTCCTCTTCATTTTTAATGCATAATCTTTGCAAAATATAATTTTTCTCGGGAGATATTGCGCATGAGCTCGCACCGTGTCAGGCGTGCAATACGGACTGAAGACAACTTCCCAATATATCTTGCTGAGGGAGCGATGGAGTGGGAGACTGAGAAAAGGCGGCAGGAAAGATAGCTGGAGGCGGCAGAAGAAGAAGGAGGCTGCACGAGGGACAGGGGAGGCAAGGGCAAGGACGCGAGGGCATAAAGTAGGTGTTTTGTACCCCACAGGCTAGGGCGCTCTCCTAATTATAAACACAGGTCTACTGATACATATTTATTAGGGAAATCTATGCTGAGATACCCCCTTACCATATTAAATGCATATATTCATCACAAAATATAACTCCTCAGGTGAGATATTGCGCATGCGCTAACACACTAACGTAGCCAGATTGTGCACTGGCTGGTATACGCAGCGGGGACCTTACATGCAAGGATTTCCTCCTATTTTTTAAGTGATGTCTACTGATAGAAGGATATCATATAAATCTATGCTAGGATAACTCCTCTTTATTTTAAATGTATAATCTTTGCAAAATATTAGTCTTCTCGGGAGATATTGCACATGCGCGCGCACCGTGTCAGGCGTGCATTACCTTCTGAAGCAAACTTCATAATATAGCTTGCAAAAAGTGCGAGAGAGGGGTAGAATAAGGAAAGTACGCACGGAAGATAGCTGAGGGCGGTAGCAGAAGAGGGAAGCTGAGCGAGAAACAGGGGAGGCAAGGGGCAGGACGCGAAGTCACAAAGTAGGTGTTTTGTACCCTACAGGTGAGGGCGCTCTCCTAATTATAAACACATGTGTACTGATAAAGATTTATTAGAGAAATCTATGCTGAGATCCTCCCTAACAATATTAAATGCGTATTCCTTACAAAATATAACTCCTCTGGTAAGATATTGCGCATGCGCTAACACACTAACGTATCCAAATTGTGTACTGGCTGGTATACGCAGCGGGGCATTTACATAAAAGGTCTTCCCCCCTATTTCTTAAGTAAAGACTACTAATAGAATGTTATCATATAAATCTATGCTAAGGTAGCTTCTCTTCATTTTAAATGTATAATCTTCGCAAAATATTAGTCTTTTCGTGAGACATTGCACATGCGCGCGCACCGTGTCATGCGTGCATTACCGTCTGAAGCAAACTTCATAATATAGCTTGCTGAGAGAGCGAGGGTGTGGGAGATTGAGGAAAGGAAGCAGGGAAGATAGCTGGGGGCGGTAGAAGAAGAGGGAGGCTAAACGAGGAACAGGGGAGGCAAGAGGAAGGACGCGAGGGCATAAAGTAGGTCTTTTGTACCCTACATGCTAGAGCGCTCTCCTAATTATAAAGTCAGGTCTACTAATAAATATTTAATAAAGAAATCTATGCT